AAAGAAGATTAAAAAAAAAAAAAAAAAAAAAAAAGACTAATATCGATCGAAACAGTGTTAGGTCGAAGAGAATACAAAGTAAAATCGATAATTTCAAAACCTTTTCTTTACAGAACTAATCAAAACTATCTTATCAGTAAACTAAGCTTCTAATATATTCAAAACACCCGGTGAGTACAAGGTGTAGGAGAAAAATCGATCGACATGTAGGAAAGGAAATTAAAAAAAAAACGAACGGGTAGAGTGAGAATTTTTTTTTTTTTTTTAAATTTCCCGCCCTTTCACGTAGTTGTAATACTTTATTCAAAATAAAACGTTTACCGCAAATAATTATGAAAGGAAGGAAGGAAGGGGGGAAAGATAAATAAAGAAATTAATTTATATATAAGAAAAAAAAATGAAAATAGAAAGAACCGAAAACCGGATGAATAGAAAAAAAAAAAAAAATAAAAAAAAAGGTTTCCGGTGGTGAGAATATTTGGCGCGGTCACTGTAACCGACAAAGATGATGCCACGAGCATAATTTCTCAGCAAGGAGGATGTCAAAACCGAGTTATAGCAAGTCCAGACAATGACCTACGATCTCCTCCCTCCCTCCCTCCCTCTTTACCCCTTTAATTTCCTCCCACTAAAAAAGCACGGTTTGAAAAACATAGACATGATTATAGGAACGAGAAGGAAGACGGATTAAACAGTGGAGTGTGTGTCGCAAGTTTATTTACGGAATTTAACGTGAAATTTGAATTAAAGATAATATAATTAGAGTTTTGGAGAAAAAGATATATTATAAAGATATATTTTAAAAGTATCTGAGGAAAGAGGTACGATCGAAGTGAATGACAAAATGTTAAGAAGGATGCAGAGGGGAAGTAAAATCAGCAGCAGAACACTCCAGGGAGTCCCGTTTTGTGCACTTGACACGTAGCGACACGTAGACGGCGTTGCCCATAGCGAGAAAGAGATAAATAGTTAGATAGATAGATAGATACATAGATAGATAAAAGGTGAGGGAAAGGGAAAGAAGACGAACTAGAAATAAAATGATTAGAGAATACAGAAGTCTACTTAGAAATTCAGTGAACAACAAGGGGCGCCCGTTCCCAAAGGAACATCAGTAATAAAATCACGGGTCTAATAATATATAGAAATACAAGAAAAAAAAGATAAAATAAGAGTTCATATATATATATATATACACACTTGACTTTGCCACCGCAAAATTGGCAAGCAGGACCCTGCCATCCCTCGCGACACAAGCAAGTACCATTGACACAATCCCCGTTGATGCAGTTTTCTGTATCGCAACTTGATTCCGTTGTCGTCGTCGTAGATGAGGAGGATGAGGCAGCCGAAAGGTGTAAGAACCAACAGGAGAGCAACACCGCCCACCAAAGTAGAGGCAAGCATGGCACCGTGATCCCAACACCGCACTCTTTAAAACGTTCAGTCAATTTTAGTTTTTCAGAGGGTTGTTGCCTACGACGTTTCCGACGATATTTCGATTTATAAAGAAACAAAAACATCTGCACGATCTCTGCCATTTTGATAGGCTTCCATGTCAGAGACAATGGCCGACGGCGACGCACCGAATAAGAAGAAGACACATACGGGATAGGAACGCACTTTTACCTCTCTCCCTCCCCTTCCTTCTCTTTCTCTTTCTCTTTCTCTTTTTTTCTTGTTCTCTCTCAAATGAGAGAAACACACCGCGCACACTTCTTAAGCGTTTTCGGTTTAACACACCTCCCGAATCTTTACGTTTATCTTTTTTCACACGTTCTTCCTTCCTCCCTTTTTCTAGATTTCTATCTCTCTTATAAAGCTTCCTCGCGGATTATTATCCCTCTCTTTTCTGCTTTAACCACCCGCCGACCCTTCTACTTTCGCACGATGGTGCTGTCTGTCGTCGTTGTGCATGCTGTGTGTCTCGTCGAACAACGACGACGACGACGATTCTCTCCCCTTCACTTATTCACGAGCACCCTCTATAAAATCCGAACATTGTCGAACATTGTCGAACCTTTCCGATCGGTACACGTCATTTTTTTTTACCTAACAGCGCTTCTCAACTACCAATCAACGTTCTTCTACTTGATTCTAATTAAAACAAGGGGGAAACACATTTGTAATCTTTATTCTATTTTTATGGGTTTTTCTTTTCATATTATGTTCGCGTTAAATATTCGATAATATAATTTATAAATTTGTTAATCGTATTTCAAAATTGTTTTGAAGTTGCAATCTGTGAGAACACGACGAACATATTACTGGAACCGTGTCATGCACGAACAGTAAGTATGCACCCTTATTTAATGCTTACCCTTCTAACTTTATTTTGTGTAGGACAGATATTTCAGTAGAACCGTTAGTCGGGATTCCGCTATTTTCCCATTTGATACTCCCCCCACCACTTTTGTTAGAACGGGTCTGATTCGGGGCCAGTCTGTTTCTGGTGTTCAGTCTGTTAGGAACACTTTTACAGTCAGTTAAACACCAAAAAAATATACTCTCTTGCGTCAACAGTTAGAATGTTCATTAAAATCCTTTGAACAGTTCTTAATTCATTGAATTTTTTAATCTAATTTTTGTTTGTTTACTGTCAGTGTAAACAAGTCAGTGAAATTTGAAGAAATCTGACAATCGCGGGACCTTTAGTTTCATGCTAGTTTTAATTTGTCTATGAGGTGGTAGCAGAAACATTGATCATTTCGATTGATTTTCTTTAATACTTTTTTCAATACTAATTAATTTCCATTTGTTATCATCAATTAATTAATAAATGTGAGAATAATCTTTAATCAAAGATTACAGAAGTTCATAGAAGGCTCACAAATCCACTTTTCGCGTAACCAAAATCATCTTAGTTAATACCCTGACCACCAATGGGCAAGAGTTGGTATTTAACGATATGGTGGTGTAATACTATCAAAGAAATGCAGTATTCTACTTACTATCGTCCACTGGTGGTCCCGGTACTAACTAAGGTGATTTTAATTACGTTAAAAGTGGACTTGTGAGCTTTTACGTAATTTATTTATTCTTTGATCTTACCGACACGCGTAAGAAATTTCCGTAAACTTCATTATTCGTATCGATACTCGTTGGACCAATGAAATGTAATTGAACCGGTCTCCGACAAGCTTCCCACTCTTTGACATTTTATAGAAATAAATGATGTGATGTCGTCATCTATATCGAACAGTTCACCACCACCCAACTCTCTCTGATACAATTTCGAGTAGAACATGCTGCCAGTAATGAAAGGAACGTCACTTGAACACGTCGTTTTATCGTTGGTTTTACCGATTTTTATAATCAATCGATTTATCGCGATCATATTTACGACACATGAATTATTATTATTCTTTTTCTTTTTCTTCGTAGATAATTAATTTAACTTAAGTTTCACCTAGAGAAGCCTAAAAATAAAAAAAAAAAAAAAAAACGAATATAAAATAGTAAAGAATGATTTGATTATAAAAATGACGATACGATGTATTATAAACGAAGTATATATTTGATATAACATATTTTTTTTTCAAGGACGTCGAACATTTTTTATCGTAAGTTCATTTTAAGCATATCGTTTTCAATTCCGCGTGACTTTCACGTGTATATATATATATATGTATGTATGCATATTATAAATGAAATATGCAACGTTACGAAAAAAAAAAAAAAAAACAAACAAAATAAAAAAAAGAACGTCGCAGTTAAAACTGTATAAACAAAAACAATTGTTTGGATCAATCGTTTCGGCATATCTTTCGGCAAATCTTTCACGTTTAAATTAATTTTATATAAAAAATTATCTCATCTAAATTTATATCCAAATTTTGGTATCATATATATATTATATTTCGAATTATATTTATTCCAAATTTATTTCGATATCCAATTGAAATATTAAATTTAATTGAATTACTCCTTTGACGTTTAAAAATGGCCGAAAAATTAAACTTTCATTAATTCGTATAAAATACTTTAAAGAAAAAACAAACAAACAAACATTATAATTCGTCGAATTTAAAAATGGCAGGAAAAAAGAAAAGTGGAAGAGGTGGTAGGAAAGGAAGGAAACAAGAATCGAAATTAATCGACGAGTATCAACTTCGTCGCGATTTAAGAGCGGGAACCGAAGAAACGGAAGATTCTTTCGACATGGAGGATAAAACTTTAATTGAAGAAAAATTATCCGAAAAGGAAGCCGAATTAATAAACGAAATTTCATCGGAAATTAGAATCGGTGGTATTGAAGGGTGAGTTTATTTTTTTTTTTGTTTCTTTTTTTTTTTAAATTAAATTACACGCGTTTACGATAGGAATGATACGATAGTAATTTAAAAAAAAAAACACACACACATTAATCTGACAAAATTGTTATCTATAAGTACTCATAAGTATATACTTAATAACTCTTCTTCGCATAGCTTTGAAATGTTCTTATCGTATTACATTTTTAAAATCATTATCTCGAATTTGAAACGTACATTTAATAAAGGGGGGAATAACAGCTTATAAATTTCTTGATTTTTTTTGTTCTTTTACCTTATCTGACAATAAAGAAAAGGATAGATACAACATAAAAAAGAATGTAAAATATAATTTTTAAAATTTTCACGATTAAAACGATTGTTTTTTTTTTTTCTCTCGCTAATACAATAAGTATTAACTTTATTCGTGCAAAGCCATGTATGCATATATATATATATATTATAAATGCATTTTAAATCTGATCTGATTTACTAATAAAAACGATCGGTACTTGTTAAGTGATGCATAACTAAGTTGTATATTCAAATGTTCACGCATGTATACACACTGCTTTATCTTTTATTAAACAAAGAAACCAATATATATATACATACCCAGTGTATTCGTGTTAATATTTAAAGATTAAATCTCAATACCTCTGTCGAAAAAAAAATATAATAAAAGGAAGAGAGTTATCGTATCAGAAATAAATAAATTACTTAAAGTTTCGTTTCGTTTATAGAGGAGGTACACATTCAACACTTATAATAATCAATCAGAAAGGAGAGAAATTGATAGAAGTTAAGGGCCCCGACACCAACCATTGGGTAATTATTAAATACCTAACAAAATAAAAAGAATTATAATCTAATTATTGTTCTGATAAATTATTACACATAATAATTATAAAATAGATTCTGGGAATGAAAGAAACGGCTGCTAGGATTAATTCTATGATCGAACGTGGAAAAGAATTGTTGAACATACCGAAAACGGTTCCATTGGACTGCGTGGTATTTATTTCATTGTATTTTTATAAAAATATCTATTATCGAGATAATAAATAGATTTAATTGAATATATATATATTTGTAGGGTTTAAGTTTGAGTGGTTGCGAGGAAGAAACTACCAATCGTTTGTTAACTAATATTCTTCTCGAGGAATATCCAGATGCTGCTAAAGATTATTGCGTTAGTTCCGATACATTGGGTAGTCTCAGAACTGGTCTAGAAGTTGGTGGGGTTGTATTGATAGCTGGAACAGGAAGCAATGCATTACTTATCAATCCAGATGGTAAAACTCATGGATGTGGTGGATGGGGTTATATGATAGGGGATGAAGGCAGCGGTAAAGATATTTGAAAATTTAATTATCAATTCAGTATTTTCTCTCGTCCAAAATTATAATTCTTGATGATAAAGGTTCATAGGGAACTTGGACATGAAAATAAGTAGAACTTATTTTAATTGAGTTGGACGTTTCGTCCCTTTATTGGGACACTTCTTCAGCAACTTAATCTTTAAAGTTCCGCGTCTTTTTTTATTTAATTCGACATACATTTCTCTTTATGTTAATATTCCAAACACAACACATCTAAACTTCGTTAATTTGATCGTTATTATTCAAATACTTCAACAAAACTTTAAAGATTAAGTTGCTGAAGAAGTGTCCCAATAAAGGGACGAAACGTCCAACTTAATTAAATTAAGTTCTACTTATTTTCATGTCCAAGTTCCCTATGAACCTTTATCATTAATTATCAATATTCTTGTCCAGAAATAAATATTATTATTATTTGTGAAAAGAAGAACAACCATCATCTAGCAACACTGTAAAATTGTAAAGAAATTTAATTCAGGAATTTCAAGATACGAAAAGCCAAACGCAAGGAAATTGCTCAAATTCAATTGGTTCAAAATAAATTGTTCATAAGATTTATAACAACCGTTTAAAATTCACTTTGAGACTTATATTAATAATATTTGAAAATATTCATGATTATTTTGTTAATATGTGAATTATCATAAAGAATCCTGATATTTTTGTTTTAAGCATATTGGATCGCATACCGAGCTTGCAAATACGTTTTCGATGACATGGACGACCTAGTAAAATCTCCCTATCCCATATCTTACGTTTGGCCAGCTATGAGAGATTTTTTTAAATTAACAGACAGAACAAGCATGCTACCACATTTGTATTCCAATTTTGACAAAAGTAAATTCGCTATGTTCGCTAAAGAAATTGCGAATGGTTGCGATAGAGAAGATTCTCTTTGTCTTTCGATTTTTAAAGAAACCGGCCGATTACTTGCTCGCCATGTTGTTGCACTTTCCAAAAAAGCTCATAACGTGAGTTTCAATTAATACAAATATTTCTTATTTATGTTAAATCAAATCCTATTTGTTTGTTGTACATTTATTTTTTTAGGATCTTAAACTAAGTGATGGTGGTCTTAAAGTGATATGTGTTGGATCCGTATGGAAATCATGGAAATTCATGAAAGAGGGTTTCATAGATGAGATTCATAGTGGATTGATCATAGATGAACTTAGTCTTCTCAATTTAACAGCCACTTCCGCGTTGGGATCGTCCTATTTAGCTGCTGAACAAATGAATTGCCCTTTCGTTAAACCTTACAACGAAAACGTGCAAGTATTCTTCCATTATAAACGTGATCATTATGGTAAAATAGAAAATATCGATGATAATAATAAATCAAGTAGGACTATGGATACCTTACGGTACGTTACGTGCGATAAAATATGATAAAGATTCAATTGTACGTGTAAAAAAAATGTAGCTAGATAAATATTTATTATAATTAGAATATTTAATGTTCCTGCCTGAAAAAAAAATGAAAATGTCTGAAGATTGTACATCGATACGAATTAATTGATACATGTGAAACAATTGGGTTTTTTTCTTTTTTTTTTTCAGAAATGCAAATAATAAAACATTTTAATACAAATTTATTATCTGTGATTGTTTTATCAATTATATATATATATTAACATAATAATTTTATCGTAATCTATAGAAAAATAAAAAAGAAATTAATCGAAAAAAAAAAAAAAATTGAAATACGATAAGAAATATGTTCTTTTTTTTTTTTTTTTTTTTTTTCGGAAAAACATTTTCAAATTGTAATGTATATTCTTTAACCTACGATTGATTTTATTTACGAAATTTGAATAATTTTGTGATAATTTTAGAAAAAGGGAAATGGGAATAAGAACACTATGGAATACCTTTTGGAATTGGTTATTTTGGGCAGCTGCAATTGTAATTAAAATCGTATGCTATTTAATTCTTTTTTTTCTCAGTTTAATATTCTTCATCGCGTCAACTAGTGCAACCGTATTTTTTATCCTGTATCTTTTCGGATATATGTCGACAGATAACGAACATAGAGAATCGTAAATGAAATTAACTGAAAAAGAAAACAGGTATGTACTATATATATATATGTATATATACATGCATATATATACATATGTAAACCGTAATACGCGTAACGATTGAAAAGCTACGTAAATAAATAATTCGTGTATTTTTATCGAGGTTCAAATGCATTTACATTGATAAATATATATTTTTTTAGAGAAATTTTCAAAACTCATAACAAAAAATATTTCACAGCTTATAAATATGTAAAATAAAAAAAACAAATACAATAAAAGGAAACACAATTTTCTATATACTAGTGAAAAAAAAAATAAAAGTTATTCTTCGTTGAATGTGTAACTTAAAAAACACACGTGTAAATGGCTGATCGTAAAATATATAAACAAATACTGGCTAGTATTTGAAAATATTATTAATAATTATCACGAATTTTGAAAATTATTCTAAACATGCGATATAATCTATAAGAACGTATTATTATTATATAAAATATTTGAAATAATGTCAACAATGATATTGTATGAAAAATATATTCATATAAGCATATCACAATTTATCGTGTACATTAGAACATTTATAAATCTTGTACACACATATCATTTAATTATTATTATTATTTTTCATTTCGTTTTCCTAAATATTACAATTTTTCTTTCTTTACTTTCATTTTTATACCAAGGACCGAGTTCAAACAATTTTATTCTCATCATTTCTTTCTTTCTCTTTCTTAACTGCATAGCAGCAACATTATAACTGAACATATAGAATTAACTATGTATTTATGAACACAGGTCTTGGTAAATTTTCGCAATACACTCTGATATCAAATATAAATTTGTTGTATTATTTTTCGATTAAAATTCATATAAAGAATCGTTGATAAATTAATATGTACATAACTACATAAAATACTTCTTATTTTTGTTCAATTTTCTAGATACATATATAAATACATATTTTAAAGAAATTATTTATTTCTATTTAGAAGATATTTCTATAACAATTTGTAGATTTCAAAATACGCGAGAAAACAAATAATTTTATTTAATCAAATCATTCTTCATATTATTTTAGGATTACTTGGAATTATTCAAAGCCGTTCATTGTTAATAATATTATTGGATATTTAGTACCATAATTATATATTATTTTATAATAACGACAAGTTTGTCATATTGACTGACTTTAAATATCTTCTTTGTTTCTTTTTTTTTTTCAAAATACATTATCAATTTGTTTTCATTATTATTTCGTGCGATAACTGGCATATTTTCATAATTGCTTACTTTATACAACAAATTTATAAAGCTGCATATCGGTGAACTAGTTTTCTTAAATATTACAAATTTGGTTTTTACACACACAAATAAATATTTTGATTGTGACTATACAATATCATAAGATTGATATATATTTTTTTTTTAAAGAAACATTAATTATAAAAATACTATAATTTTTGTTGTTGTTGTATCGGTGGCTATGTAAAAAAATATTAATCGATACATCATATTTTATTCGATAAAAAAAAAGAATAATTCAGATAAATAAGACATTGCCATTGAATGTTATAAGATACATTCACTTGTGCTCAAAATTTGATTACATTTCTGATGATGTCATCCTGTTAAGTGACTAGCCAGAGCAATGCTTCCCTACATTGTTACATTCGTCTTATTTCATTCTTTGAATGTAATTGAACTTAATACTATATAATACGTTTAAAACAGTTGGTTGCATATTTTTCAAAAATATCTGAGCATTGTATTTTTAACAAAATACACATTGTACAATCTAACTTTATAATATATATATATAATGTTATATAATTTAAAAAAATGATTTTAAAGTCATAACCAGTTTAATAAGAATGACACATCTACTCAATTTGATCACAGTATTTTTATATAAGGCTTCATTAAGAATATATGTAGAATCATTTATTTTTTTTTTTTCTGTATCTCAGATAATAAGCTATGAGGTAAGAATCAGTAAAAGTATGCAAGATGTTAATATCAATGCTTTAAGTCGAATATTTCTATAAGTAATGGCTCTACACTAGATGGATTTACATTTAAATAAACGTTAACAACTTCGTCGTTCAATCTATGAAGTTCGGATATTTTTTGTATTAATTTTAAAAAAGTCGATTTAGCTTCACAACCTGGATAAACGCTTTCCAAGTATCGTCTCAATAGATAATAGTAAGAATTCTGTAAATGAAAAATAAACAAGAAAACAAGATGTTATATAAAATCATTGAATGTATACGTATATTTTATTAGTTCTCTCTTTAAATTTCAATATATATATATATACATATATATATATATTTTTGTTACCTGTTCCAATTTAATTACATCACTGTGTACAACCTTTGGTCTATCAGGTGTGAACAAAGCAATAGCACTTAGAATTAAAATGATATTTTCATCTCTCCATCGTGGATCAAATGTTCTAACAAATTTTGCATGCTCGGCATACAAATTACCTTTAGCTTCTTTCAATACATCAACTTTAATGTTTGACATTCTTTCTTGGCTATGTGGTATTTTCCACATATCTTTATCCGGATCATAATTGAGTGCCGATCTTAAGATCATCATTTCTGTACATCCTCCTTTCAAGAGAGCTAATTGATCTTCTTGGCACATATTTTTAAAAGCATTCATTTTTTTCGACATTTTTATAAGACGTCGTATTGCTATAGCTGTTAAATTTATAACATCCAACAACATAGGATCGGATTGTCCAAAACTTCCCTACAAAATAAATAACATTTAACAATTGCATAAATGAAGATTGTTTAAATTATTAAGGAATGTTATAGAATAATTTAATTTTAAAATTTAATAATAAAATTACTTTAAATTTGCATTCTTCTCCAACTAAATTTGTTATATCATCATCTAATGGAGCTAATAGTGCTTTATTAGCTACTATTAATTCATTTAACTTTGCTCTTTCAGCGTCGTTTAATTCTCTGGTGCTTTGATTCCCACCAAGAGCTGAATATGCTGAAAATTCCAATTTAATAGCTTCATACAAGATCGATTCGATCGAATTGGCAGCAATTGGTATTCTAAAAAGTATTTTATTTATTATTCATTTAAAAATAATTCAATCAAATGAATTTATTTTACCTTTGAACATCTTGAAGTACATCTTTAGTTACATCGGCTGTTGTTTTATTTGTACTTTGATCAGTATCTTTGTTTTTATAATTTTCAGTACTTTTATACGTTATTAAATCCTTTAAAATTGGATTTTCCACATGACTCTGTTTGATCTTAAATGGTTGTCTACTTGTGGTAGCAGATAAATGCTCTTCTATCACATCCTTCTCCAATTCTGGACTCGAATGTTTTAAGGTATCAGTATTACTATTATCAATACTATTTTCTTTAACAAATTGTGAAATTTGTGGATCTGCTGCTAATCTATTAACCAATACTGGATCCGTCATAATCTTTAAAATTAAATTTCGATCTTGAAATATTTTTGCTACTAAATGCGGATTATTGACAAATTTCATAACAAGTTCTGGATTTTGTGTAAATTTATTAACTAAATCGTTCCCTTTAGGACACATTTCTTTCTGTCTCTGACATGCTGTAGTTTCTTCAGTAAATGTTTGTACACTCGTATGAGAAATGGGACTTAAATTTAATTGTGTAGTTTCTACATTCGAAGTACAGTCGATAAACGTAGAAGGACCACTTTCAGGACTCTGTTCATATTTGCAATAACTTGCTGTACTATCTTCATACTCGTGCGGATAACGTGGTGATTGATTACTTGTATTACCAAAATTAGAATCAAATTCTAATAAATTCTGATCAAATTTTCTTGAATTTATAGAAATATTTTTATCATTTCCAGTAGATTGAGATGCAAGATCAAATTCATTAAACCTTGTTCTATTTGGTATTGGTGAATGAGAAGTCATTCTTCTTGAGTCTACATCAGTGTTAGGTTCCTCATATTGCGATATTAATTCGTATTTAACAAAATTACATTTATTACTATAAGAATCTTTTAGCATATCTAAAGTTTTAGATCCTGTTATGTTTCCACTTTCAGGTGGACTCGAAGGACTAGGAACACTAGCTGCAGTAACCGGACTCATATTTTCCATAGGATTTTGTCTACCCGCATCTAAATCAGCATACTTTTTATCTGACTCCCAAAAATATGTCTCAGATACATTAGATGTAACCGAATTAACTGTATCTTCAAAGGTACAATCTTCTACACAATCCTTTTTAACTTTGGATGCTTTAATGTTATCCGATTGAGGCCGTTTCTTAGCACGATTCTGTTCAATCTTTTGACGCTTTAAAACTTTATCTTCTTCTGACATAATGTATTCCTTACGCATCCCAATACTGAAACATTTATCCAAACGGCATTTTTGACAAAAACGTCTGGTCACTGGTGTGATGCTACAATTTTCTGTAAAAGGACACCGGAAATCCTATAAGAAAGAAAATCAAAATGATAAGAACAACAAGGTAACGTGTAACAAACAAACAAACAAACAAAAAATAGAGTAGGACCGTGTGAACAGAATTGAAAATGAACAGATGATTAATTGATTAAAGAATTTAAACGTTAAATAATTACCTTATTTTTAAGAGCATTTCTCCTAAAAAATGCTTTACAACTTTCGCAGGAAACTGCATTGAAATTGTATCCCAAAGCGCGATCACCGCAAACACCGCATATCTTGTTTGCTTCTCTCGCTGGTTGTTCATCTTCCATTTCTTAGGTAATGCACAATATAAACCAAACGATTATCACCTCTTATCTAATGCACCATTATCCCTGTTTAAAAGAGTGTTCCTTTTTCACTGACTGATGATTAATGTCAAACATCATGGATTAGATATATTTATTTTGATTATTATTGCATCTCATAATTCTACGACACAATTCTTATATTATTTATTACTTTATTTAGGAGACTGGTATCATCTTTGCTCCACAACGCCCCGGATCTATGAAATGCTGACTTGAAAAGCTTTAAGTGATAAACCAAATAAAGTGCTCAATTGGTAGTCACTTGGGAGTCATTAACGAGACGGTGCGCATAAACCTGTCATACCACGTACTGCCCAGTTCTCTGCCACTTCGGTTACTTCTCTTAAAAACCCTACCCCACCCCACCCCCTCCCAATTCCTCCAATCATTTTTATCTATTTATTTATTCCACCATTTTTTTTTTTTTTTCCGCCATCTTTTTATTTTTTTTTTTAATTCATTTTTACTATCGAACGAACGCGTTTAATGTGGAAGGTTTTTTTTTTTTCTCGATAAATTACGCAGCACGGTTGTATTAATGATATCGGTAAAGGGGGTGCATAGGTCGATTAAAAAATCTACACGCACATTAGTTAATATAATCTATTATCTATTGTGATATTTAATAATAATAATTTATTAATGAATAATGAAATATTGATGATGTTGTGTGTGTGTGTGTGTGTGTGTTTTACCTCTCGTGAAATAGTTTCGTTGTTTTAAACAAAAAAAACAACACAGATGTATTTTATCGTCGAACGTTGTGCATACGTGTGATGTAGGACGCGTTTTTTTTTTTTTTTTTTTGCTGTTTTCCTTCTATTTTATCAATTTCGTATCTTTACGATATATATCTTATATAATCTTTTTAATAATCGGTTATATTAATTAAAAACGAGAACCTTTGGAGCCTTACGTCGAATTTAATTACATCGATATTTCCAGATCGTTTGTAGGTTAACATCGGATCGATTTGTTTAAAGTAAAATAGTTATAAAGAAAAAAAAAAGAAATTGAAAACAGTGAACCGGAAAAAGAGATATCGAAAAGATAAATATAAAAATGAAGATGATACGCGATTAAAAGTAATAGAATCGTATTAACTTTACACGTTTCCAATTAATTTGTGATTAAATTTTATATGTGCATAATTTCTTTTCTATAAAATTATTTATTTCCTCAAAATATAATCAAATTTTTCGATCATATTTTTTAAGCATATGAAACTTTTCAAAAATCATTATATTTAATAGTATATGTACAAGGACGTGTAGAAACTTACGATAATATGTTGCAATGTGCACTTCCAACTTTATCAATAACTGAATGTTGCAATTTCAAATGGGATGATGTCTTTTCGTTTCCACCATATAAGAGTTCGTTTATAAAATTCAGATTAGTTATTATTTTTTAATTATAAGTACCGCACGCACAGCTGGTTATCACATAAAAGATATCGAAATTTGTACAATCGTTTTACGTGATTTTAAAATATTATATAGTCATATAAATGTGTATTTTGTTTTTTTCTTTTTTTGCGGCATTGTTACTACGATCGATCAAGCAACATGTTACAAAAAAAACTGAATCGATTCAATTATCAATGTGTTATTCAACACTGATATCATTATCACTAAATTCTGGAAATAAAACTTATTGTTAGATAAATACAACACCCAACGTATGAAACGTTCAATAAAAATGAATACCTATCGTTTATATATACACATATATATATTCTATATATGATATAATAATTTAAATGCTATTAATATTATATTGTTCAGAATTTAATAAGTAAATTACAATGAAAAAATTCTTTTTTCATTAATAAATAAATTATTTAGTTAATTAATTTTCGTGAAAACGTATGCAAGGTTTTTTTTATACTTTCCATATCTTTTTCTTATCCAATGTGTATGTTCAAATATATTAAAGAATAATATATTTCATACGATTAATTCATATCTCAAAATATTTTATAAAATTACAATTTTTAATCTTAATACATTCATTAATTTATATCCTTTTTAAATCTCGATCTTAAAAATATTAAATTCTATCACGACACACTTTCGCATTTATATTTAATCAAAAATACTATTATATAAAATACGATTGAAAATTGTGTATAAACATATATATCTTATTTGGTTTAATAAACAATTCCTGTTCATCGAAGGCACACATGATAATATTTAAAGTTAACGCTTTATGATATGTATACAAAAAAAAACAACAAAAATTTATAAAATATGGATATAAAATATGTATATATATATATACTAAATGCAAAGTGCAACCAGTTTTACACATATGATACATACAAACTAGATTTTGTCTATTCTACATGATCGAGGCACATCAGAATTAAATGTATTTGAAAATGATGAAATTTGTTAAGTATTCTTATGTTGACCATAACACAGACACGACGTTCCCTTATTCGGCAGTATACTTATTAAAATAACACGTGTGATTTTGGTAATACATCATTTTCTGTTTTTTTACATTTCCTCTTGAGAAGTAGAAATTCCATCTTACGTGAGAGACGTTTCTTTTTTTTTTTTCTTTTTGTTTCTATTTCATTTCGGTGTATCTGTTAATTTCGTACTTCCCGTTTGCACGCCACCAGTATAAAGAACCAATTCTTCTTTCGTGTAACACGTTACAATTTCTTCAACGCTTGAGAATGATTGTTCGTTTAATTTTGGAGATCCCAGAGCATACCTGAAATATTATTCACAAAAATAAAACATTAATAATTCATCGGATAATATTAAAATGAATCAAAAGTTAAATTTAAAATTAATATTTCCAAAAAGTTAAATCTTACAAAAATAAAAAGAATCCATTATACAGTTTCAACACATAATAAACGCAAGAACTTTTGATTCATCTGTAATATATAAAAAAATAATAGGAAAACTGTAAAAATATTGTACCTATTGTCAGATCGTTTTCTAACTGGAATATTGTAAACCCTATCCTTGCACCAAAGTACAAGAGCCAATGGACTATTTACGTTGGTGGTAGAAGGTCTGAAAAGAAAGTAACCATCTTGCGGAGTGCCGTAAGTACTTTCTGTAATAATAATATAAATGTATAATATTAATATTTAATGAAAGCAAACTTAAGGGGTTACATGGGTTTTACACCGGGGAAAAAATAGCATATTTTCAACAATTTTTTTTCTATATAAAGAAATGGAATTCTTATTCAAACTTTTTATAGTATTTAAGATACATATTTAAAGAAGATTTTCTCAAATTTTCGTTGAAAAATATTTTAAACTCAGTCATTGCGACGTCATTTTCGGTGACCCCACCGAAAAAAAGGGTTTCCGCGTTGACAGCAGAACTTATAAACGGTAAGGGTTTTTCTGTTGAAAAAATAGGGTCTTTTAGTGAATACTTCAAACTAGAAACTGGACGAAGGAAAAAGAAAAAAAATTGAAATTTGGATTTTTGGCAACGTTTTTAGCAAGAACATTCAAATTTCGCTACAATTTGCACCACATTTTGGTTTCTTAAAATTCGATTTTATGAAAAAAAAAACGAAAATCCTTCGTCCAAGTCCTTGTCAATAGTATCACGAAGACGTGTAGCAAATTTCATGAAAATCGGTTAAATAGTTTTCGAGAAATCCTGACAACTGACTTTAGAAAAAGCGTTTTGCGAAAAACACATTTAAAGATTTGAGTGGTGGTATAAGAGCCATTAAAAAGGCTCTATCTTTAAAACTACTACTCCTATCGACTTCAAAATTGAATACAATATTTTAGATGAGTTGCAGAATTTAAAAAAAATTTTTTTGAAAGTCCCAAACCCATGTAACCCCTTAACACAAGTTAGATAATTAATCAAAATGATTTCTTAAAACATAATAAACTAATAGCAATAATAACTTACGTTCCGAAATGAGTGTTATGGCTTGAGATCGAGTAACATTGTGATACCAAGGCTTGTTAATATAAGATACTCGATCTGGTGGTGGTGGTAATGGTCTCGTAGTTCTTTCATTTAATGATAATGAAGTATTACTACCAGAATGTGGTAAAGTTGCTGATTTTTTATCCGGTGAACGTTCTGAAACAATTAACAACAGTCAAAAATGATTATTTCAATCGTTCAATTAGATAATACAATTACTCATTGATATCGTTGTTTATAAAATATAACAAAAATATGTGTAGTATAAAAGAAAAAGAAATATATTATAAAATTATGTATACTCTTTTTTGTTTGTGTTTGTTTTTTTTTTACATACTAACTTGCTAAATTTAGACGTGCTTGTGTCAGAGTAGCTTGAGTCAGACACTCTGATAGGCTTGCTTGTCGACGTGTTGCAGTATTCAATGATACATTTCTTTTGCTATCGGTTATTATGGTTGCCATTATTTTATTCAATTAAATGCGTATCAATGTGATAGAATAATATTGTACAATAATAGATTTATGCATTTAACAAAAGTACGTGTACGTATACATCATCGTTTTTTTTATCTCCATCCATATTTAATTATCGAAACTTTTTAGAAAATATCAAACAAACGTACGACGTTCTTGTCGCGTTATACGTCGTCGCACAACTGACGCTAGTGAATTATCATCAATTTCTCAAATAACAACGAAAATATATTCCAATAAGAAGAAAAAACAAAGCTGAGAAAAATAAATCACGCAAAATCCGGTTTATTAAAGTGTTTAAATAAGGCTTTCAAGCAAAACAACAAAGTCTACTTCCAGAGTTTACTCATCATTTAACATAATAATCGACATTTGATTATTTTTTTATTATAACAATTGGATATGCTTGGAATTATCGTTAATCACCAACGATCTCTTTGTATTTAAATTCGCAGTGAGACGATTTTATACCAAGTTATACGAAAAATGTATTACTTTTATTTAACGCGAATTAATCAGTAACACGACACGTATACAAAATGTGTACGAAGATTTATAATTTTTTTGTACACTCGTTATATTTTCCAACACTGATATATATAAAAAAAAAAAGGCAATAAATTTTTCACAGAAAAGCAAAAGATTGATCCCAGTGTATTGCACGAGAAACTGTAGGAGACTGAGTATGCAACGTTGCGATGGAATGCATTTAAACGTTTGAAAATAATGGCACCCGTTCTCTCTTCTCTCCGTTGGTCTATCTTGGCATGGGGTAAAATATAAATTTGAAGAATAATTTAGAAATAGATTCCAAATAAATCTGATTCTTTTATTATGGTGTCCTTATATTAGTTCATAAGAACGAAATGGTGTTGGGCACGCGTTTAAAAGAAATTTCTTTGAATTTGATCAAATCATGCTTGGTTTATGAAAAATGAACAACGTGCTTTTGCGAATAATTTCATATACCTGGGGGATCTGGTGGTTGAGAATAGCAACATCTAGAAAGACCTCTCTTGATCCTTACTATCATATCGGAGACCTCATCGGCCAGACGCTCACCTAAACCTCCTAAGAGATGTTTGCTCAGCCTGAGATAAAAACAGGAACACATTCCATCACACTATTCGATTCTTCCTATTATCAAGCCCAACAATTTTCCGGTTTTTTTTTCTCCTTTCTTTCTTTCTATACACTTTGATTATATTTAACTAATTTTCGTAGAAATGAGAGAACAATAAATGTATAATAATAAACAATTGATCGTAAAATTAATCACATTTTCACGTAAATAATTCTGGTTATGCGTTTGATCTTCCGATCGTATTTGCAAATACAAACGTATTGCAAATCGTGATACATTGTTATAAATAATTTTGATTTTAGATAGGACGTATCGATCGACATCTTTCTGTTGTTGATTATGAATTAACAAACAAAAAGAAAAGTCCTCCCCCTTCCCCGTCGACCGAAAAAAAAAAATTAAAATCGAAGAAAAATCATTCGTGTGTATGCATTTAAATAAACAGTACGGTAGTTCGTGATCGACTGACAGAAAATTTCTAAGTGCATCGTCAAGTTGTTGCATGACAAAGAATGAATGAGAGACTCTCGTTGTATAGTAGTAAGATCGGTTATTAACCAACCACCATTTGTTGCACACGTGTTCGTGGGAAGCTAAATACATTATACTTTTTGTTATTTCCTTTTCAACTGTATTCCAAGTTTTTGTTATCCCTTGTCACGTAATATGATGATTCTTTTTGTTTTTCTTTTCTTTTCTTTATTATTCTTCATTCTTTCTTTATTTCTTTCATTCTTGTTTTTCCCACTTCGGATAATCTCATAAAACATTATATTAAAATAATGAACAACGAGTGTTCTTAACCCCATAGATTAAGACTTTTATCTTAGGTAACTTTAATAAGGAATTTAATAGATACCAACCATTTGCATTGTTCGATTTTGTTAGATGTAACGTTGGGGGTGGCGTGATGGCTGGTTTGATGGGTAATGGTGGAGGTACAATATTACTGCTTGGTGTTCTTTGAATAGGTCTTAAATAATTATCATTGTCTTCAGGCTAGAAAAATGAAAATGAATGTAAATTATAGATGAAAGGTTAATTATTACAAGAAAAATAGTTAATTAAGTAAATTGTGAATGTAAATAACTTACTGGTTCCGTAATGGATTCATAAATCTCATAGTGTTCTTGTTCCTCTTCACAACTGGTTGTACTTGGCGATTGATAAATGCTTTCAACAGAACTTTGAGCTCCGCTGGTCAACGATTGTTTGCTGTCGATTCTTGAGATCACCGATCTTTGATTTTGTTCTATTATTTGCTCGTCAAATTGTTCGTATTCACCCTCACTTTCTTCTTGCCTTGTTGGCAAATTGGCAATGAGATCCAAATTTCTAATCGATATGGACGGTTTCGATAAATCCTGATCGTCTTTTCCTACTTTGGTCAAAATTTGATCGACGTTTTTTTTAGGTGTTGGTGGAGGTGGAACAGCCATTCTTCCTAATTAGAAAATATCATATATAATATATAGAAATAATATATTATAATTATTATATATATAATATATTATATAATATATATTAATTATTTATAATATAAAAATAGTAAATTTGTTTAACAATTTTAACTAAAATATATTTTATATCTATTGAATTTATATTTGGTAAGATAGATAATTCAATGGATTTTATATTTTATTATAGATTTTTTCTTTTTTTTTATATTATTATAGATTTATTATTTTATATTATTTCTTTTAAATGATTAGAAATATAATATCTGATAAAAAGGAAAAAAGATAGAATATTAAAACTAACTTTGATGATCGTTCTGTGGCCGAGGTTTCGTTTTCGAATCATCGTGTAAAAATGATTTTCGTGGTTGTTTCGAAATGTTTGTAAAATTGGTTGGCCTTTTCGAAATGATTCCTTCCGGTTTTGGTCCTAACACTGGTTTCTTCGAATTTCTCAATTCCAATTGTTCTTTCAATTGTTCCGCCAATGATTTTTCTATAGTTCCGTGTAATCTTGAAACATTTTTAAGTGGTTGATTAGTCATGTTATGTTTATAATTAGCGTAAACACTTTTATCGTCCGGTAAAGTAGATTCGAAATTTTCATAAGTCGTTTCTTCATCTTCCTCCTCATTTCCCATCGTATTTTCGTCAACTTGATCATTAGTTTTAATAGTTTTCATTTTTGTCGAAATATTATTACAGTCATTACCATAATTGGAATTAATTTGATTATCATTAATGTTCTTGGTATCGGTGAAAGTAGAATTATGGTGGTCTTCCGTTATCTCATCTTCGAAATCTGTGTCCCATGAACTGGTATCGCTCATGTGATCTTCGTTTTGTTCCGTTTCGATATTTTTCTCTTGTACATATTTTTCCGGAAATTTTTTAATTTGTTCTACTAGCGTACGAAGTTCCCTGGAAATAAAAACAAATATATATACTACACCCATATATAAACATGGTGTGACACGAGAAAACAAAATAATAATAATAATCTTCTTCTCATTTTATTGAAAACAAAGCCATTTTAATTGTACAACAGAACGGATATTCCGCTTATAAACACTTTAACTCCTCGTAAAGTTGAGGATGTTACATTAAAGGATACAAGTACAACCCACACGCTATGCAATTACCATTTATGTAAATCTTGTATGCCTTCTAAGTGATTATCGAGTTAAATGCATCAATTGCAATTTCATTCTATCGAATACGCAACTTCGAAATGTTACCTGTGTGATTTATCCATCAATTTCTATTTCAAAATATTCTAATGAATGTAACGAAGTAACGTGTGTTAAATTGTTACAATATATTCTTGGATGATACCAAAAGCAATTACTTTTAACTCATGTGTGTCTCTTTCTCTCTCTCTCTCTCTCTCTCTCGTTGATACTATTTAAAGTAGAATTTCGCGATAATGTTATCGCTCTTTTATATACACAGATGAAATTACACACATATATATATATATATAAGATCCGTTGATGAAAGTAAAATACTTACACGCATATATGCAACATTATTGATTTGTAAATGTAAGCAACACGTAAGAAGAGACAATGGGAATGAAACCAAAATCGATGAACACTATAGGATACCATATATATATCATTACAATAGCTTTGCCAACGTGGCTTCGTATAATATACTACATATATATATATATAGAAAGCTAGTAGAGGAAAAATGTATTAAAAAAAAAAAAAAGACATAACAATGATAGAATTGTTGCGTTTTATTTGAAAATACCGTATTGGTATATACCGTTAATCCCCTATGTCACCATGTCTCAAATTCACATTCCTATGTTGGTAAGTTAATTGTAAATAAATACGCGTATTTTAAAACTTGTCTCTTGTAAAATTCAGATCGTGTAGCATCGTTTTTCTTACCATATCAAAGAACGAGTGAGGTCACTCTTCCATAGAGCCAACTTCCCTTCAGTCAAGTGCTGAAATAATTAGAATCAATTAAGATCTCGTCTAAAGAGGGCGCGTGCCAGTTGAATATCCAAAATGCAATTTTAAACGAAAACAATTGTATAGTTTAAATTAAAAAAAAAAAAGAACATGATTTTTTTATTAAATGATCGAGAATTTACAAAAAAAAATAAAAACAAACATCTTCAATCTTATATCTGTGCGTTATTTTTCATTTAAATCGTACCTACATTTCAATGAATGAGAAACAATTTGTTTTATTTCCAAAATAAATATCAAACAACTGGCACAGAAAAGAAAAAAGGTAAATGGAAAGTTGCATAATTAAAAATTGATTATATTATACTTACTAACAACTCGTCACCGTCGATTTGCCGTTTCGAAATTGCTGTACAGCATTCTTCCAAGCCATTCTATAAGTCGTATGAAATTGTATATTTTAAATAAATCGTGATATTAAATTACTTTCGTGCGTATTCGAATAACCGAAATATTTGAACGTAATTGAAACTAAACTTAAAAAAATATAATGTTGAAATATACGCGTGTCTCTCGAATCGTATTTTAAATTTAATTAATCGAATACGCAAACGTTACTGCTTTAGTCAAATTTAATAAATTAGCGCGATTTAAAAAAAAAAAAAGAAAAGAAAAGAAAAAGAGAAAAATGAAATTCAAATGAAAAATAATCAAATTAATATATTCGAAATATAAAATCAAGATTAATCTTCTATGAATATTTTCTATTTTAATTTCTCTTTACTTATATTTTCTTTTTTATCTTTTAGATAATACATATCTCTCTTTTAACTTTTTTTTTATCCTTCTCTTCATTATCTCTCTATTTCCGGCTTGTTTGAATATTAGTGTTTATTTTTTTGTTACATTTTCTCTTTTTTGTCCCCTTTTTCCAACAAATGTCGAACATTCTAATAAATCGATCGTAGAGAAACCAGGTAAGATTGGATAAGTGCAGTGACCCATAAGTAAAAATATTTACCGCGAGGTAAAATAATATTAAGAGAATGGATGACAACGACAACTTTGAAAGTTTTTTACTGACCTTTTTTAGGAGACACAAGACGTCGTTTGTATTCCACGTAGATATAATTTCGAGGGCATCGTTTCGAGACAATTTTTTGGACATCTCACCGCGTTTGAACGCGCCTGTTGCAAAAACAGCAAGCGTCGCACGTGTTCACCGCTCGGGCGCATCTGCATCGGGTTTTTGTGGGCGAGGTGTCTGACAGTCCTCCTCCTCCTCCTCCTCCTCCTCATTCCTTTTCATTTTTCCTCCTCCCGTTTCCTTCTCATTCTTCTTTTCATTCCTTCTCTCATTTGATATCTTTCTTACACATTGAGATCCTTCTCGCTTCCTCTCCTACAAATAGCATTATATACTGACCATAGGCTCTTATGATTGGTCAGTTTGTAATACTGGCACACCTAATACTACTGTGTTAAAGGTACGTTCACAAAGCTACATACCTTTTTTTTGTGTTATACGTCAACGTGGAGTAGATTCGACAAATTTTCCATTTTATTTCATTTTCCAATTTTCTTCTCAAAACTTTTGTCAATTTTTTTACGATTTATTTAAATCTATATATATTTATCGATTATTATTTATATTTTAAACAAATATATATGTTGGTCGTATATAATAGAAAAATATTTAAAAATTTCTAATTAAAAATCATTTGGGTAATATTTAAATATATTGTAATTTACCGCGAAAACATGTCTACCATGTTATTGTCGTTGATTGGATATTAGACGACCAATCACAAAACTTACTATAATATATTAATATATGATATATTAATATATAATCGATATATAATACATAATATATATAATATAATATATATAATTGTTATAATATATTAATCTATAGTGAAATTATTTAAATAATGTTAAATATATTTTAATTTACCGCGCAAATGCCTACCATATTTTTGTCGCTGATTGTATCCTAGACGACCAATCACAAAGCTTGGTAATTCTAAACCTCCATGAAAGCGATAATTCTGGTCGCGTAGTCGTAATTGTCGTGATGTTCGTGGCTGTTCATCGTGTGTGCCAAAGAAAGAGACAATTACCGGTTAACATTTATTTAGAATAATACATATTTTTTCATTGTTCTAATTTAATATTAACAGGTGACAAGATGACTGTCCCAATTATAAAAACTACACCTGAATACGTTGAATTTATCAAGTAAGCTATCACACGTTTTATTATATTTCTTTTCTTTTCTTTTTATTTTACTTTCTTTTCTTTTTTTCACTATATATGTATTAAATTTTGTTCTATCTTTTAGTATTATCATTTTATTATTTACACGATTATATTTTATTGCGTTATTCGTCAAATTATCGATTTATTTTCAAGCGCATTATCGTTATCTAAATGCATTTATTCTTTATTGACCTAATTGATATTATTTCTTATTTCAATATATATTTTTTTCTTTTGTATATTTTTGTATACTTCTAAGAGCAAAGAGCAATAAATTTTTTTTTAAATAAATGCATATA